TGGATAGGATGCTGGAGATGTGTTATTTTGCTTTGGGTTATTGAAGGGATTCCCTTGTTTTTAAAATTACTGATGCTTTAGAGATGAATCAGCAAGTCCTACTACTGGTCCCAATTGATGCCACACTCTTTGGGATCCAGAACTTTACCCCCCATGGTTGCCACTGCGGGCCGATGTTCTGCCTAGGCCCTACCTCTGCTCGTAGCCTTGTCTTTCCGCACCTTGACCCGAGGGCTAGATGCTCATTCTTTTTTTTTTAACTTTTATTTAGTTATTTATTTTTATGTGGTGCTGAGGATCGAACCCAGGACCTTGCATRTGCGAGGCGAGCGCTCTACTGCTGAGCCATAACCCTAGCCCCGAGATGCTCATTCTTGTGGCTCTTACTGTTGCAGAAATCTGTCCCCACTGTCCCCATTAATTTTTCTCTCAGTTCTTTCTTTTACAGCCTGTGGAGTCTTCCTCTTTATGCTAAAATTGCTTCACACATGGACTGTGTATGTCATTGAAGACGAGCTAGTTTTCCTAAATGATGCCYGGTACATATGGGTTTCCAAGAAACAGGTTCTTCAGAACATCCAGAAGACAAGAGTCTAAYGTGCTCCTCTTTTTAATTAATGGATTAACAAAGAATATATGGCTCTTAGTGACTCTGAATAGTTGAAAAGCTATTTTACTCTTAGCCTTCATTTTCCTTTCTAACAAGAGGATTGAACTGTGTGTAATGGGTGAGTTTTCTTTATGTCTGTTCTGTGGAACTGATGTTTTTTCATTGGAGATTTTTTTCATATATTAAAAATTTTTTTTAGTTGTTGATAGACCTTTATTTTATTTATTTGTTTTTTTTCTGGTGCTGAAGATGGAACCTAGTGCCTCACTCATGCTAGGCAAGCACTCTACCTCTGAGCCACAACCCGAGCCCCCCCCCCCTTTTGGTATTTTTTAAAAGTAAGTTTTCTATGGCAGAATATGATCACTGGTTGGTCAGTCTGCTCCGGCCGTCTCCCTTTTCCCATGTGTGAGGCCTGCACAGGTGCTACTTCCATTCTTGGGGTGGTCCTCATACACATCTCCTTTGCCACTTATTCCTGTCATGAGGTAAGAAGCCTGAGGCCCAAGGGGCAGTGTCTTATTACAGGTTAGGACATGCAGATGGCAGAGCTGACCTTCCAGGGCCTTCAGCCTCATAGACTGCTCCTAGCAGGACCTTCCGCCTCCTCCCACAGTCTGCTGCTTTGTGACATGTCCTCTCCTGTCCTCCAGACAAGAGAAGACAGGAGCTTTCAGAAAGCACTTCTGTGCTCTACTTGGAGTATTCCAGTTCTTTTGGTTTCTGGGTGGTTTGGTATTTGCTGTATTTCATTATGCAATATTGTTTCTACTAAACATAAAATGTTCAAAATAAAATGCAAACAATACATTTAATATTATGAACTTTTTGGTGGAAAATTGGTAGAATAATTTTATTTTGGAAATATTGGATTATTTTATGGCACGTTTAATTTACTCAAATGTAAAAGAATGAGTTTTTGTTATACCCCAACTGGGTAGATTGTAGCTGGTACTAGATGTTTGGCTTCCTTCTGTGTGTCCCTGTGGTGCCTATGCTGAGGGGGGAGGAGGATAGTGTTCATCCTGGCTTTRTGAGCCTGCCACTTTGCAGGACTCCTGATGACATTTCTTGTCTCCCCAGGGGAAGTGCTTCTCACCCCTGGCCATGCATCAGAGTCACTTGGGATCTATTAAAATTCTGAGTTCTGGGTCCCTCCCTCCCTCAGATTGTACTTGCATTGTTCTGGGAGGTCATTCAGACATCTTGCTCTCCCTAGTCCCCTGGGAGATCCTCCTGTGYAGCTTGTAGTATGTCCAGTTCCCCAGATGCCAACAAAGAAAGGCTAGTGGACAGTGGAATGGGGCTCTTGTTTCCTCCCGTATTTGTACCTTCCCTTTCCAGTAGCGGACTCTGCTGTTTTTCAGAGCCTCCAGCAGTTAGGGTGGGAGGGAGGCCTGTAGGGTCAAGACTAAGCATTTATCTCTCTTAGACGCTGAATGGCCTCAGAACAGTTCTTTGTATTCTATGAGTAGTGATTGTAATTCTCATGCRTACACTGATTTAGTTTTTGTAGAGGCATTTCTGTAGAAGTTCCAGTGAGACTTTCCTCGTGCCCCCCTCCTACAAGTTTCTCAACAAAAAGCAAAACAGATTTGTCTGTTTTGCTTTTTGTTGAGCATATTCCTCTTCCAGGGAATGTTCTGTAGAGTCTTCCTAGCGAGWTATTGGCTTAGGATGTGTTCTCAGTGGTGCTTGTCTCATCCCTTTGTCTTGGCTTCCTGTTGAGTGTGGAGAGAGTTCGTGGAGTGGTGACGTCATGCTTGAAGCCCATTGGTGGCTTTGGCCAGTCAGGCGCTTCCTGGTGTCCCAGTGGGAAAGATGCATAGTCTGGCAATAACAGGAAACTTCACATTTCTACATCCTGTTGTTCTGAGTTTGTGACTTGCTGCCCTGCCATGATGAAGGTTAGTGGACATTTCTATATGTGTTTCTTCTGGTAGAGTACCACAGCTTAAATTTTCCAGGCTCTGGAATTAAACTGTGGAACGGAAGGAATTCACTTTATAGTTAAGGGAATTMATTTTATAGTTAAGGGAACTGTTTTGTGTATAAATGAAGCTGAGGCCTGTTAMGGTTATTGCTTAAGAAGGTGCAACTTAACCCATATTTAGCACTTGAACAGCTTTAGGTAGAGCTCTCCCTGGTGTTGGACTGCTTCTTGATCATGGATAGCATATGGATTGACTCCGTGTTATAGATGGCTCTGAAGGGGCTTTTCTAAGGAGGACCCTGGCTTCATGAGACCCACATCAGCGATGGGATGTCTAGCTGTGCTTACAGCTGGCTTGTTAGGGTTTGTAGGTCCATCTGATTTCTTCTCATGAGCAGCTTCAGACAGCGAGTTATGCTTTTAGTCCTTTTTGATTGTCTTAGTGTCTTGGCCTCTGTTCCGAGGCCAAATTTGTCTCCCGAGTTTTCCATCTTCTCAGTTTTCTCTTGTTATTTGTGTTTGAATAAACATACCTCATAACTATTTTTTATTCACTTCAAAAATTATGGACAGAAGACTATCAACTGGAGGTGATTTTTGTGTAAGAGAGCAGTTTACAATCAGGTTTGGAATTGCACTTCTTAGTGYCTCTTGATACGCACTTCACTCACAGTGATATTGTGTACCCAGTGGGTGGTGGATGGACTGTTGGGAGGTGTGCAGCTGGCTCCTGTAGATCTTATGCTCCATGGTAGAAACTGACTGAAACTATTCCTGTGACACATGTTCTGGGGGAGCCTATTGGGGGCTCAACAAGGCTGTCCAGGCAGGGCTGATCCTTCAGGAAGTAAGATGAGTAAGACTTAGTTGGGAAGGATGTGGGTGGGGGACAGGAAGTAGGGGAGCAGAAGGGAGTTCCTGACATATCTCTTGAGTGTCCTCGAGAGGGAGAGCTGAACCCAGGGGGAGGGCAGAGGTGCTAGGTGGACTAGCCACTGATGCTTATTCTGGTCAGTGGTTAACATAACATTCAAATTATGTTAACATGACATTCATTTTGTTTTCTAAATATACTTTTGTTATTGGCACCGTGTGTGTGTGTGTGTGTGTGTGTGTGTGTGTGTGTATTTTGTACCAGGGATTGAACTCAGCTACTGAATCACATCCCCGACTCCACATCCCACCCCCCTTTTTGGGTATTTATTTAGAGACAGGATCTCACTGAGTTGGCTTAGCACTTTGCTGTTTTTGAGGCTGGCTTTGAACTATGATCCTCTTGCCTCAGCCTCCAGAGCTGCTGGGATTCAGGWGTATGCTACCACGCCCGGCTTGAAAGATATTTTTTCTTTCATAATTTTTCTAGAACAGAGTAGTGGATGATTTGACTGTTAAAATTGTTTTTGTATAAGGTTCGTTGGTGATCAGAAGTGACAGGTAGTCCTCAGACAGTATTTGCAAAGAGCTATGTGTTTTAGTACATCTGTGCATGCACACACACACTTACACACACAACCCTCACAGACTCTGTACCCAGCTATCTATATCCAGGCCATCTCTTGTGTGCTCTTTGAGCTCCAGGTGATTGGTGGGCACCCTTGTGCATGTGCACTTTCTGTCTGTCTCTCACGCACATGCACACATACACACACACACTCCAGTTGTCTATATCATGTCTTGTACTTTCTCTCTCCCAGCTCCAACTGGATGGTGTTAACACGTGTGCTTTCTTTCTCTCTCTCTCTCTCTCTCTCTCTCTGTCTCTCACACTCTCACACACACACACACACACACACACACACACACACACACACTACAGACTCCAGCTGTCTGCATCCAGGTGAGCTCATGTGCTTTCTGTGGCAGCTCCATGTGTATGGTATGAAGTGCTTGTCTATGGGATGTGACTGTCTCCTCAGGGTCCCAGGTTTCTAGACAGCTCTGGATTTGAGGAGGTGCCAGATGGTCCTGATCCTGGCCAAGTCTCTGCCCAATGAGTCCCTCCCTTGTCCCTTCTGTGTGACCTKATCCCTTTCCTTATACTTTCACATCCGTTGTGCTCGCTCACGTCTGTATTTTCTTTTTGTTCCTGTTGGTTTTGGAATCGGCTGCATCTTGCCTTCCTTTTATGCTGGGAAAAAACATCTGGGGTGTGCCTTATCCAGTGGCCTCTGCATACTCCAGGGGGAGAGGGCTGCAAGCTACCAGTGAGCCTTCACCAAGCACATGCAGCTGGGTGGCCCCTGCCCTGGGTGGGTGCTCATGGATAGGCAGCTGGTCCTCATCCGAGGGCTTGAACTGCGCCCCATGCAGGAATTCTAGTCCTTTTCCTCTGGCCTGCTCTCGCATATTGTGCTTCCTCTTGGGATTTCAGGATAAGAACCCCACACCAGAACTTGTTGATGCTGCATTCAACATGAGATTCAGTACTAATTCTGCTTGTTTAATTTTTCCTTTCAGACATTTGATGCAAATGATTTGTATCAGGGGCAGAATTTTAACAAGGTCCTCAGTTCCTTAGTGACTCTAAATAAAGTAACAGCAGGTAAGACTCCTTTTTTATTACATTTGAGAGGGTGGGAATACTAAAGGGAGAAAGGTTTTGGTTTTCTGTTAGTAAGGCAAAATGAGCATTACTTAATTTAAGAAATGAGCGCCTACTGCTTTGCTGCTATAATTCTGCTATCCTGAGCACTCGGGCTTCAGTTCCYGGTGCTGCAAGTCCTCCTTTAGAGACTGGCCTCTGAGCCACTTCCCAGCGCATGTTTACTCTGAGTCCTGTCWGGAAGCCATTCTCTGCCTGAGCCTGAGTCAAAGCAAGGCTCCTGTGTGCAAGTGGAGGTGAGGCCTGACTGGCACAGAGCACTGCCCTAGAGCAGGTTGCCTCCACAGGAATGTGATTGTGTTTTCAGGGCTTCACTCTGAGATTGAAAGTTGMGTACCTCTAGGGCTGTTGAGATGAAACCATCTAAGAAAACATTCCAGGGACAGGAATCCTTAAGATTGTCTAATCACTTAATGATGTATTGCAAATTAATATTTGGTGTTTTCTATAGGTGGTTAAATAGACACGAAGCAATCCTCTGTCCCTTTACCATCAAAATTGTAGTTTTGATGTGAACAAATAGTAAGGAAGAAAATCAGTTACATGAAATTCAGGGAGATGTAGCTCACACCAGGATTTAATACAAGAGACCTTGCATGAGATCTTGAGAGTGTGGCAGGTTCCCGTATCCACCCAGGCAAGTGTCCATCTACCAGCTGCTTGGACACGGTCACTAGTCATGTGAGATTGTTTTGGTTGGTGATGGGCTGCATGTGCAGCAGTGTGCAGCATGTGGTCTAAGTGTGCACAGGGCTGTATCCTCTAGGTCGGTGCCAGCATACTGTGGTGTCTGCATGATGACAGGATCTCCTTCCTGATAGCACAGTCTTGAGAAAGTAGCCCTGTCACTAAGGGACATGCAGCTGCGCGTGTCTGCCTCAGAATTGTGAATGATGACTTTATAATTAGTATAGGTCTCTGTGGCAGACGGGGATGGGGTGGCCCTGGTAAATAAAATCTATAGGTGATCCTCAGCTGGACCCCAGTGAATATATTGCTGTGGGTGCTCTCTCAGTGTTTGAGTTAGCAAAACAGAGTGTGGAGAGGTGCTGGGGAGCTGCAGGCCACGCTGGATCCCTTGCCTGTCAGCGGTCCAGGTTTGAGGCATTGAGATTTTTTTAGAGAAATGATGGATTTGTAAACAAATTGGGATCAGTGGTTCTTGGACACATGCCACTGTTTTTTCTACCCCCACCTCCTGCAGAAGTATTTCTTGTGTATTGATGTCCTTGGGTCTGCATTGGATGTAAAATATGCAGTGTTTTTCCTTATAAAGTTATATTTAGAAGTTAGGAGATAAATTTGGTACTTTTCAGCTTTTAGTTAATGTTAGTGACTATTTTGCAAGAGCTTTTTACTTTTCTGTTTGTTGGTTCCTTGCTCTTGGTTATTGTATTGAAGTCAGTGTGATGGAATTGACTGTCTTTTTAGTTCTCAACTTTAAACMCTTGCCTCAATGTAGTATGGTCACAGCTGTTCCATTTTTTGGGAAATTTCTGCCATCATCTTCCCTCTGTTTCTGTCACTTAAAGAAACACATGTGTGTTCTTAAGGCATTTAGATGAGTTTTTGCCTTTCAGTTGGCCAGAAGAATTGATGATGGGGAAGGAGAGGAGTCAGGATGCCTTGGTTGCACTGAGAATTCTCTTGAAGGCCAGAATAGGTTAGCACTGTGTAGCTAGGGYGACAGACTCACAGGCGGGTTCCAGGAAAATATCCTCTGTGGCTGGTTTTGTGTTGGGGTGGTATTTAGGCTTTGTCTTCTCAAGTAGACAGTACTTGAGAAGTATTCCTATCCCTACATAGGATCTTACAAGTGCAGGCACCTTTTAGGGGGAATGTCAATACAGTGTCCCACACTGTATTGTGTAGTGTGGAGCCAGCAGCAGCATAAAGGTAGGACCTGGTGGGAAGGTCTGGCCCTGGATCTTCTGCAGTTCTGGCTGCCTTGAGCCATTTTGTCCATGAGAAGGTATGGACCCTGTGTAGCTCTAGCCCGAATGTGCCAAGAGAAGATGCAACTCTGGGCTTTTCTGTGACAGTCTTCAGACTTTTAGCTGATTCAGAACTTTATAAGGTACCATGTAAGCCTGTTCCAACAGATTTGCCTGAAAAATGGGCGGGCTCTGGGCGATTGTCAGTGTAGGGTGCTTTTGTGGAAGGATCCCAGGTGGCTTTAGGACAGGGTAAGGCATATACATCTTGAAAAGTGTTTTCCCTAGTAAATTCCTCACACCATCATTTTCCTTTTTTTCAAATCAAATCATTTCTAAGAAATGGGCTGCTGACATTGACTTGTTGGTTGGCCTGTTGTGGTGGGGAGGGGCGCATTAATTCCTGCTGGCTTTGGCTCTCAACAATGGGATGAGGCAAGTGGAGCACGTGGTGCAGCTTGCTCTTGAGGAGATAAGACTCAGAAGGGTCTYTGGCCAGAAAATGCACAAGGAGAAGAGTTCTTTGTGTTGCAAAATAATTCTTGTTGCTCACTGCATGGGAAATAATCTTGGAGAAGTGGCATATGTGCTGTGGTATGTTTTGAGAGTGAGAACTGAGTTGTTTTCTGTTGGGGAGTTGTATTTGAGAAGCTTGTTTTTCAGGTGAAGAAATGTATTAAAAACTTATAAAACGTTTCACAGACTTTTGAAAAGTTATACTAGAGAAATGCTGATGAGGAATCATCTTCAGATAGTTTCTGGAGAGGTAATTGGGGATGAATGCGAGTCATTTATGGGACAAAGAATCTGCTCTTTGTTTACTGCATAAATGGCCTGCTTTATTGTGGTATTCGGTGTGTCCCTCTGCTGGCCCAGTTTTAGAGCCAGCGTGTGGCATGGGAGCATGGTGTCAGGCGTTCTCAGCGCTTTTTCTCTGTGTGCATGACCTTTTCAGACATTGGACTAGGGAGCGACTCCGTATGTGCTCGGCCCTCTTCGCATCGGATCAAGTCTTTTGACTCCCTGGGATCCCAGTCTTCACACAGTCGGACTTCAAAATTGTTCCAGGGCCAGTACCGAAGTTTGGTAAGTTTGAGAGGTTTTGTTATTYAAATTCTAGTGTATTTGGGAATGTGGGAGTGTATGAATGTGTCTGGAAAGATGCTTGTGCTCCTGCTAACAGTGCTAAAGCAGCCCAGAGGTATTTGATCTTGCCTCCATTGCTCTTGCAGCCTGGTTTTGTATTTGTCCTTACCAGATCCTTCAGATATTATGCTGAATGAGTGCTTTCAGAAAACTTGTTTCCTGGGGTTATATTAAGATTGATAATTCTGCTTGTATAGAGAAGCATGTACTTTTAACATATTTCCCTGACATAGTGCTTTCTCAACTGCTATGCACAGAAGCATGAGAAAAAATGTATGTGTGGAAGAACTTAGCCATACAAAGGAGAGACGGTTTTAACCAAAGAAGCCAAAGCTAGCCTTTTCCTCTTCCTGAAAGCCTACCTTCAGAGCTTTCCATGGCTGCTCAGGACACAAGGAAAGGCACTTAGGTGGAGAGTCTTGGGAAGGAAAGAAGAACCTGCTCATAAATGCTAAGGGCACAGGCTGTAACAGTGCCTGGAGATGACATAGGGGAAGGTAGAGCATGGGACTGAATGTGAGTCTGCAGGGAGGTCGCAGGTCCTACTGTCCTGGTCAGGTCCTGCTGTCTTTTGGGCCACCTGGGGCTGGCAGTTCTTGATTTGCTAATAGAGGCATGATCATTTTTTTCTCCTTGTATAAGGAGAATCTTACAATGGTAGTCATGAGAGCTCACATCTTCAGAGATTTTAGGGACCCCACTTTCTTTTTGCTGTAACACAGGAAATTATGAGGTTTTGCTAATAGTGACATTCAGGAAGTGAAAGTTCATTTGGACAGAGTTGTATTTTGTAGTTGGAAATAAATTTGAGTGTAGCTCAAGGAATAGGGTTAAAARTAAGATTCAGGAGAAATGTAGTTTTTACATTTTCGTAAGTGTTTTGAAGTGAACCCTGCTSTTGTCCTTACATTTGCCCTTGGAGAAGCCTGTCCTAGGTTCTGCATCTGCAGGTAGGTGATGCCTTATTGTGATCTGCCTATACCAGCTCAGTCCTTCATATTTTTGTGGCCTCTCTTCTGCAGCCCTCCTGGTCCTTATGTGGTCTAGTTTTTTATAGGATGTGATGCTGGAGGAGTTCTGTAGCATTATCATTGTGAGCATTATGATTCCAAATTAAGGAGAAAACTTGAAACATATTAAATTAGCTTTATAAAATATGTAAGGAAAATGTAAGAGAAAACATACTTTCAGTGAAAAAAAATACTTCAAACCATGGAAGTTTTCATTTTGGTTTTTCTTTTTTCTTACTGAATAAAGGAAGACTGGGAAATATGTATGATATTAAGTAAAGTATGTGGTTGAAGATGAATGTTACTGAGATCTTAATYATACAGGATTAACATTCCATTAGCTAGAGAAATTGGTAAGTTATACCAGGAGTGAAAGGGTTCTTTTTGTTGCTGCTGGTGTGCTGGCTTCTCCTGTATGGGACATGGCAGACCTCTCTTGCATGCTAGGTGAGAGCGACTCTTGCCTTTAGATTTTTCTGAATATAGTTTACTCATAGCACTGTGAGGTAACTTTTTTGAGTTCAAAATAATCTAGAATCTAGAAATGAGGATGGCAGAGTGTTCATAGCTGAGTAATGAGTACATGGAAGGCCATTTATCATTCTCAACCTCTACCTATGCTTGAGAATTTCCATAAGAACTTAAGCTGAAATGGCACCTTGTAGTTGTGGAGCATCAGTTCTGGGATCTTGTGACAAAGCTCAGCCCTGCACTCACTGCAGGCACTCCCACCCAAGCCGGTCCACTTCTCAGGCACTGTTTAAGCTCCTTTGCTCAAGCTAGCTTTTTTGACCCCCACATCCCTTTCAGTCTCCGAATGTTGCACCCGATTGCYGCCTCACCTGCCGTCATCTTTCTGCTCCAGGACAGTTCCTGCCTGGGGTGCAGGCTGGCTAGGGCTGCTGCTGCTCATTTGGCTCTRCAGTGGGAGCTGGACCTCCTCACTCGGTGCCTCTTTCCTGTGGCTCCCTCAGCATGCCTTTCTCTGGGTGATTTCTTCCTGTCCCTTTACATGCTCTCAGCTAAGCAGATCTCCTTGTCCAGCTCTGCTCTGCAGCTTGCCTGTCACCACAGAAGGAGAAACCTGGGAGATAATCAAGAGTGTGGTGGATCCAGGGCATAGATTTTTTTTTTTTTTTTTTCTCATCAGTTCTGACTTCCAATTTTCTTTTCTTAAGGACTTCTGTTGATGCTTCTGGAGTCASTGTCATGTCCTGCATCTGCATTGGCTGTTAATGAGCATAGCCCCACGTTCCCTTCTTTATTCTCAGTTTGGGAACAGGGTTTATGTACTAGCTAAGCCTTTACCTGCTGTTAATGAGCACGGCTCCCAGCTCCCAGTGTTGTTCTCTGAGATTGGGGACAGGGTTTTGTACAGTTCTGCTTCGCCTTCTTCATTCTGGGAGAAGTGACTTGATCTCTTAAGGCATTTCCTCTTCTGTGGCCCCCAGCACTCCAGGAGCCAGGGACCCCAGGCCCCTTGGCCTTGTGATACTGTTGAGTGACCTTGCTTGGGTACCGATCTTCGAATTCACAAAGTGTCCAAAGCATGCAAGAAATCACATCAAATTTTATTATATATGCTTTGTTAAATATTTTCAATTCCCTTGAGTAAACATGGGATATATCATGAATCATATTTTGTCAATTCTAAGACCTTTTTCTGTAAAACATTTTAGCATATCTGAAAGTAACATGTATCTTATAGTTTATGGTATTCTGTAATTTAATTGATAGTATTTAGTGTTTTATAATATAACAGTGGGCATTGTCCAGTTTTTGGCAACTTATACTAGATGAAATRCATTATGAGGAAACTGAAACTTAGATAAGGTGGGTATTTACCCAGGATTGTAGAACTGGGACTAGAAACTGTGGAGTAGATATTGGGTTTTTGACTCTGTGACAAGCCTTTTTTTCAATGAATGAGAGTCTGGGCACTCTGGGACGTGGAGGAGGATCTGGAGCTTTGAAGGCTGCAGGCTTTTCTGGGTTGGACTGTCGGGATGCCTGCAGGACTGTGGTAGAATAGCACTTGATGAAGAGGAATATGCCAGAAACTTGCAGATGAAACTCTGGCTGTAGGAGCCAGGAAGGTTGTGGAGAAGAGCCTGCCCAGTGGCTAGGTGACTGTTCTCAGGGGAGGTGTCCTATAGGCCCATGTGGGGACCCTTTTTCCCTTTGGGGAGGGAGTCTTCAGTCCCTTCCCATTGCTAATAGTTGTTGACTTGTAACATGAATTTTAAAAAGCTCGTGTGTTGTGTGTACAGCAGGATGGATTTTCACACATCAAAGATTGCTAACTAAGCAGCATCCAGTAAGACCGACAAGACTAGCCTCAGGATGCTTTCATTGTCCCCCCCCCCCCCAAGGATATCTGCTATTGTGATTTCTAACAGTACAGACGAGTGTCACCTGTTTTTTATTTTATATAAATGCATTTTTTTATTGAGAGAGTACTAGAATGTCACATTGAATCCAGGTGGATGACAAACCACTGTTTAGGAGATCTTTTTAAAAATGAGAAAGAAGAAAGCCCACAGTGATAAAATAGAGTTAAATTCATCATTCTAGTTTCCTGTGGCACTAGAGACAATGAAGGGAGCCTTTCACACTCCACTGTTGTGATCCAGACTGCAGTTGGTGTTGTGCGGCAGGTAACTGGAGTATGTAGATGTCTTGGAACACCCTCCCTTTGGCTTGTCTGGTGCGCCTTGCCCTTCGGGCACTATTGTAAAAGGATGTGTTAAAGAAATCCACATCCTGTCACCATAAAGACACCGAAGAAGGTGAGTTTGTTGAGCGGAAGCTGTCACACAGGTCCAAGTGGTCCTGTTCTTTGTAGCATGCCTTGTCTTTCTCTTGGATGCTGCCCTTTTCACAGCCTTTTCCTTTCTGATTGCTTCGTTTGTGAAGTACAGAAATCTTTGGGTGTTTCCCTGGCACCCATCTGAGTTGAGAGTACTGTTTTCACCTTCCTGTCTATAGGGGGAATGTAGCTTGCCTTCTGTGTAATTTCCTGATTTCTACTCACCTACTGTTATMCTGTGGAGCTGACCTCCATGGCCTGGCACCCAGCTGCAGCTACTGGAGGCTGGCAGTGGGCTTGTCCTGGGCACCGTGACCTTGGAGGCTCCCTTGCGCTCCACAGTTGGTTCCTTATGTGAGCTCCTCACCAGAATCACTGTGTGAATGTTTATACAAGGCTAAGCTATAGAAAGGAGAAGGTGGTAGGGTTGTGGTAGACTGCTGGTGAGCATGAGGGTGGTTTGCAGAAGGAGACTCGCTGTGGCATGGTGAGTTGGATAATGTTCCATCTCCCAAGAGCAAGTGCCACTGTGGCTGCTACTTTATCTTGCTCATGCCATTGGTGGGGTGGTGAGTGCTGTGCTTGAGCAATGGCTGTTAGCTGGAGCCTGCGCTGCCACATGTGGAGGAAGAGACTCCTGTGTTAGATATTAAAGATGTGTTAACTATTATTTATTCAGGATTTTGAATTATTAGATACATACTTATAATTTATGATTGATGTTTAATTTGTACACACGTTTAGATAGATAAGTATTAAGCATTTGAGAATGACCAGCCAGCTACTCAGCTACTCTTTGTTAAGGATCTCCCTCATGGTGGGGGTGTAGTCTCATGATGTTCACCTGCTCCTGGTTAGAGTAACTCTGAGACTTGCTGGAGACAGCCACTTGCAGTTTTACTAGTGGTTCTTTTAGGCTTTTGCCTATGTGTGTCAAAGGAAAATGCCTTTTTTGGAGGAGGGGGGTTAATTTGAAATGTTTTTTCAGTGTGGATGTCCATAGTAGAGAGTAGTGAGCTCTTTACACGYGATCCCTTTACCTGCTCCCCAATGYTCTGTGGTCCCATTGTCTTTGTGGCCAAGCTCTATCCTGGCTTTAGTTAGTTCAGTGTTTAGAACATTAGGGTGGCCAAGCCAGCAGTGTTCAGAGTGGAGTCATGTCGCAGCCATGCTTTCTGGAATGCATACTTATCTTTGTCTCTTTGTTTTCCCTGTCCTTTTTGCAGATGGTAGCCCTGATCTAAGAATCTATGTGTTTGCATTCAAGCCTGTTAGATTTCTTCTTGCTCATCTCCCTGAGGAGCACTCCTGATGTTTCGCAGGCTGCTGCATGGCAGTCTCTGATTCTGCTTGGTCCTCTTTGGAGGTGCTTCTGACCTATGTGGCTCTCCTCCACCACTTTCTCCATGTCTTCATTTTGCCCTTGCATTTCACCTGTCTTGGAGGAGCACATTTTCTCTAATTTGTTCCTGGAGAAAGGGCACATGGGATGTAAATGTTTTGAGGTCTTATAATCCGCAGATTGCTTTTTTTCCCTGACATTATGATTTTTATCGCCTTTTGTTTTCAGAGGTTTAATGCTAGGATGTGATTTGGTCTGAATGTTTGTGGGTTTGTCCTGCTGTAACGGTGTGCCTTTGTCAATTCCAGGGCTTTTCCAGGTGTGTTCCTTGGCCACTTGGCAGCCCTTTTCATGCCATAGTCCCTGTGGTTCTGCTTATTCTTCAGCATGCTCTGTTTCTTTTCTTCTGAGTGAAGTTTGTAAATGCCATTCTTTTCTGAGGTTTTCTCTCTCTCTTTTTTTTTTTTTTTTCTATTTCAAGACAGTTTGTAGGGGCTTTTTCAAAACTTTATGATGACTGCTGAACTTTTTCCATCCATTCCCATGTCTGCTGTTGCCTTGATATCATCTTGGGGGTCCTCTCTCCTGGTCGTCCGCTTGCTGTCTCTTGGGCATGGTCTCAGGCATGGTCTCAGGCATGGTCTCGTCTCTACTGGACATCTGCTTGCTGTCTTCTGGACATGATGTCAGGCATGTCTCTCCTGGTTGTTTGCTAGGTGCTGGGACTCCCAGTCCTGTCTTTGTTTATGTGGCCATAGGACATTTTGCCCAGTACCTGTTCGACAYCATGGTGCATGTGGAATGGGCTTCYCCCTGGTGGTGGGACACAGGAGAACACCTCACCGTCCTCACTGGTTCCTCAACGAGGTTGTAGTTYGTGTTGTGGGCCTGAGAGTGGTCTCATGGGCCCTCTGTGCTGCCCCTTAGGCTTCTCTGGGACTTGTTTTTTTTTCCCTGTGGACTTTCATGTGGATTTGGGTTGCTGGCCTCTCCAGAGCCTAGTCCAGATTATATGGAGATAGGAAGAAACTCAAGAGTCTGCTTTTCTCTTCCTGCCTTCCAGAGACTTTGAAAAATGCAGTTTTTGTGTGGGGAAAAAAAATAAACATTCAACAATACCCAGTGTTGGTGAAAATCGGACAAAGAACTCTTCAGATATGGTTGGTGGGCATGTTGCTTGGTGTGAATATGGAGAACCTTTTTGAAGGGYAGTTTAGAAATTTATTTTTACATTTAACAGTATTAGTATGTGTTCTTTTACTAGAATTTAACATGGAGGCTAATTATATTCAAAGATGGACATGCAAGCATTTTTAAAGTAGCCTTGTTTTGCAAGACAGAAATACTGTATGTAGTGTATTAAAAAACTAATCTAAAGGCCCATTGTTGGAGAGTGATAAAATAATGGCACCTTCGGGTAGTACAGCATTATGCAATTAGTTGGTTCTAAGTATTGCTGGAAGAATGACTGCAGAATGCTGACTTGGCCTAAGTGTTGGAGGAGTATGTGCGCTGATCCTTCTAAATGTGTGTGAATGTATATTGGTTTGTGCAGGTTTAGCAGTTGCAGAATGAGACCTTTAAGCTCTGGAGAGGTCTCTTCTGGGGCTGGGACCAAATGGAGAACAAGGTGCACTGGGAGAGACAGGAAACTTGTTTTTTTATTTTAGACATTTCCCTGCTGTTTGAATGTTTTGGGCATTTATAATAATGTTTTGGTTGCCTTTATAAAATATAATCTTACTTATTTTAATGGAGTAGACTGTATCTCAAGTAATCTTCCTCCCACTCCTCCCCACCTGCTTTTTAGGACATGACTGATAACAGCAACCATCAGCTGGTAGTGAGAGCCAAGTTCAATTTCCAGCAGACCAATGAAGACGAGCTCTCGTTCACGAAGGGTGATGTCATCCACGTCACTCGAGTGGAGGAAGGAGGCTGGTGGGAAGGCACGCACAATGGCAGGACTGGCTGGTTCCCCAGCAACTATGTGCGTGAGATCAAGCCAAGTGGTAAGTGGCCAAGCCTGAAGTGGCACTGATGACTGCTGTTCTTGAGGCTGAGAAAGCWGCCATGAATGCATTAGCATCCTGAGTGCTAGCTCTCCAAGAGAGTCTGGGAAAGTGCCTCTGTTGTGATGAAATTTTTGTCCAGTGGAATCCCTAACATTGGAGTTCTGGGACAAAGGGCTTCACAGTTATAACCTAGCTTTGCATTCCATCCTGACATTTTCCAGATTCCAAGGGAAATATCTCAAATATGTTAATGTTCTCTCCTTCCTCCTCCAGGTACTGAGGGTTGAACTCAGGGCTTTGTACATGGTAGGCAAGTGCTCTACCAGTGAATTACATCCCATTTTATTTTTGAGATAGTTTCTAAGTTGCCAGGCTGGCCAGAAGTTTGAGATCTTTCTGCCTGAGTCTCTTGAGTAGCTGGGATTTCAGGCGTGTACCACCATGCTCTGCTAAGTTTTTTTTTTTTTTTTTAATTGAAGTGGGATCTTACTACCTTGTTCATGCTGGTCCTAAACTCCCAAGTGATTCTCCTTCCTCAGCCTCTGAGTACAGCTGGGATTGCAGGTGTGTGCCACTGTGCAGTTGTGGTTACACTTTTGTGTTAAGATATCCTTTTATCTTTTAGGGCTGGGGTCAGGGCTTGGAATTTGTGATATGCAGGCTTTTAACTGTGGGCACTTTACCAATCATCTATTTGAAGATAATTTCCGCTGTTTATATCAGTAATAGTATTTTAAAATGTATTGCTTTCTGTATTTTTTTGATGTTTTTTTACTGACCAAAACTGATCTTTCAGAGGCTGATCTCTTTTGAAAGAGAGTGGTGGTCTTTGGCATACTTATATCGCTGATATGCACAGTGGAGTTGAATATTCTCTGAGGCTTGTGGTTAGATCTGCTGACGAGGGAGTGGCTGTGAATGTTGAATGTTGGTGAGGCCAGCGACTGAAGTGCCAGCGGACTGTGTTCAGGGGACCTGGCATTGATGTTTTCCTGACACAGGTGTTTCTTGGCCATACTTCAGGCCATGGGCCAGTGTGGAGGATTAAGAAGGAACTCCATAGASACTTCTAGGTCATGTGAATGCTTCTGGGCACTGCTGGCCTTCACGGAGCTTGCCTAAATTGCCTCTACATATGTAAATCTTGTTTTATGTTGAGCTTGGTTATAGATGCTCTTGTGAGAGATAAAGATTTGCAATGAGATTTCAGAAGGAGGGTCAGAAAGGGGAAGAATGTGGGAAGGTAGGGAGAGAGGTGGGATGACATTTGTAACTTTGTATATTGTTCCTGCTATTTGGAAAGTAGTGCACTATATTGTTTCTGATTCCGCCCTGGGAAAGATGATTTACCAATATGGCTGGAGAACAGGATGTGTGGAAAGGGCATAGTGTGCTGGGGTGGGTATGGCCTAAACTGCAGATATTTCAGATGGAAAGGATGATTCTATGCATTGCTTGTGGAAGTCCCTTGGTGGGGCTACTTAGCTGTAGTATGTGTGGTGGGCACTCAGTGCTTACACAGAGCAGGGTCCCTGAGTGGTCATTGCTGTTATTTTATTTTTTAATGTAGCAAAAAAAAAAAAAAGAATTTTAAATGTGAAAATGAGTTTTGATAGTAAAATATTTTCATAACAGTGACCTTGGAAAACTTAGTGCTTTTGTTACTGGGGCCCAGGCCAGAGGCCTGAATCTGGGATCCCATCTAACTGGATTCAGTTTTCTGTCTGCATCAGGAATGAGAGCAAAACAATATAAAAGGGAAAAGTGAATTTAATCACAGCTTGGCCAAACCCAGAAACTACTGCTCTGCCTTTCCAACCTATTACAGGTTACTGGAGGGAACAGTCATGTAGAACAGAAGCTGAGAAATACACATCTGTCTGGCTGTGGCCTCCAGTGAGCCTGTGTGGCAGTTCTGGTTTTTGTACCCTCTGGTGCCCAGGGCCTGGGATTTGGGAGCATTCTTAGCTCCTGTTCTCAGCATGAGATGAGGTGATTGCCTGTGGGAAACAGGATGGAGAAAACAGCTTGAAGAACAGTTAGCAGGAAATGAATGGGACTGAAGAAAAGCAGTTTGAGGCTTATTGAAAGTTTCTGATTTTAAGAATGTCTGTTACACTTCTGTAAGACAGCAGGCAGCCGGGCACCGTGAGTTACAAAGTTCTCTGGGTTTTACTGTTCATTTTTGGTACCTTGTGTATATAACATTCACCTAGCCATTCTGTCTGTTTCTGAGTGTGTAATTCTGTAACATTAGTCATGTGCATGTTGTTGCATAACCATTGCCTCTGTCGGCCTCCACAAGTTTCTCATCTTCCTGATCTGAGGCTGTGGCCCCAGGGAGCACTGATACCCTGCTCCCCTCCCCAGCCCTGTACCCTCTACTCTACTTTATGTCTCCAAAGCCAAGCAGCTCAYATAAATAGAAACATACTGTTTCTGTCTTTTTGACTGACTTGTTTCACTGAGTGTAATGTGCTTAAGGTCCATCTGTGTTGTAGCATGTGTCAGAATTCCCTTCTCTGCATGTGTATTACCTTTGATTGTCTGCTGATGGGCACTTGGGTTGCTTTTGCGTCTGGGCTGCTGTGTGCAGTGCTACAGGTGACTGGTCAAGTCCTTGTTTTCACAGGTTAGGTACAGGTGCTCCTCGGCTTTCGATGGGGTTGTACTTTAGGTAAACCAGTTGTAAGTTACAGTATAGTAAGCCACCTAACCTGCTGAACACCATGGCTTAGCCTAGCCTACTKTAGACATGCTCAGAACACGTGAACCAGCCTGCAGGTGGGAGAAGAGGGGAAATTGTAGCATACAATGCTAACCTGTGGAAAGACCAGGTTACATTCTTGAGTACATTCTTACTGAAAGTTACTGCTTTCACACCATTGTAAAGTCAAATAATGGTATGCAAACCTTCCTAAGGTCAGAAGCCATCATCATGTACCCAGAAATGTAATTGCAGAGCAGGTGGTCCTTACGTGCTTTCATTTTGAGGCCTGCCATGTGCTTCTCCAGTTCTTGTACCTTCTTGCATTCCCAGTAGCAGTGTGTGAGTGCAGTTTCTCCATATCCTCTTCCAGTTATGTTTTCAGTAACAGCCATGCTGTTGGGTATGAGGGCATATCTTGTTGTTGCTATTTTTATAGTTATTAATAGTAATAAGCAGTATTTTTCATTTTTACTACAAAATCAACTTGGCCAAAGATTTTTTGGCTGCTTATTCTCTGGTTACTATAAAGTGTTTTTTATATGTGACCTCAGTCCTTATCATAACCCCAGCAGACAGGTATTGTTAAGATCTTAAGCGGGTAGGAAACATAAATTTTTGCAACCTTTAGAAAAGTTGCTATTCACGTGTGGAACCAACTGAGTAGCAGTAGGTGAAGGTGATGGACATGTGGTTTGGTCTGTGACTCAGCTGGGCATCCAGGCTGAGCTTTGAGCCCAGTCAGCCGTGTGCAGTGCTGCAGGTATGTGACTGTGAATTTGCTGAAAACAAAGTTGTGCTGGGTAGGTTAGCAGCCCGCCAGCCCCAGCCCCAGCATGTGGGCCACCATTGGGMGAGGACACCAGAAAATGGTCCTCATGGAGCTAGGGAGTGGTCGAGCCTTTGGAAAGGACCTGGCCCAGTGGGAGGCAGGAAATGAATGGGACTGAGGAAAAGCAGTTTTTCCCAGTGGGAGGCAGTTGTTCAGTCTGTTCTTTCAGCTAGCCMTGTGGCTTTCATTAGTTCTTACATTGACTACTCTTAAACATTGCTTCTTTCTAATTTTGAATTGTAGTAGGCCGCAGATGAAGGGAATGTCCAGGTATTTCTCCTGTGGCTTTTTCAGTTAATGCAGCATAAGAAATGACACTGAAGGTGGGTTTGTGGGTCTCAGAGTCCTGGGGTGCCTTGTGGGCGTGATTTTCAAATAGATTTGAATGCCCTCACTGTCGTCTGTGGGTAGCTGTTTGCTGTACAGCATGCGGTTACCCATTAAGGTTGCAGACATGTGTCCTGATGTGTTGCAGGCAGGCCTCGCTTTAGTGTGGAGTGGAGGCCTCAGGGTTAGCAGTGGCTGAGGAAGCTAGGTAGGAGGGACCRGTGAAAGGAGTGTTCTGTGTTGACCTCCCTCAGCGGCAGCTGTGACATTCTGCCCTACCTAAATTTCCATGTTAGTATCTTGTTTCTGAGTGTCTGTGACCAGTTTAAATCTGTGTTTGTGATACATTAGTATTAAAGATGCATTGTTTGTAGGGAACCACACCATATCCATAGTTTATGTACCAAATGGAGCGGTGAGTAGGTTGGCTTTGAAATTTTTCTGTTTTTAAAAATATAAGACACATACCATTATTTRTTGTCCTTTATTTGACAGTGAACCTAGGGGAATGACTTCTCATCTAGTGTTCTGTAATCATCCGAGTATGTTGTTAGAAGAGTCAGGCCAGTCTGATTCCAAATGTTGGCAGCTGAAGCAGAAAGGTGGGAGACCACATCTTTTATTCTCCCACTATAGCAGGAGGATAAAATTCTAGGATTGCAGTTACATTCAGTGTTACAATTTTCTTGATAGTTCATTGCCTTTCTGATGGAGTAGGTTTCTTTTTCCAAAGGTGTGTTTGATTCAAGCATTGTAATTCATGGTGTAATTGGTGCTGAATTTGCTGAGAACAAAATTGTGCTGGGTTTGAAGCAGACTTCTCTAACTGCCATTTCATGTTAGATCATTTCCTTGTGAAACAAAACCCTGACTTCTCTTCAATTGAGGTTTTTTTTTTTTTTTTCTGTTATCTTTTGGGTTGATTTCCAAGTAGTTTTACTTTGTAAGCAAAATCTGAGGGCTGCTTCTAAATTCTGCTGTTTAGGCTGCTTATCTCCAGATAAAGTCTCTAGATTGTCTCCTTAATCTCGGCTTTGGGGGGTGGGGAGTGTGCATAGCCACAGGTTATGCCCTCTTGTGGTTAGACTCGGAAGTGTTCTTGTTGAGCTTTCTGCTTTTAACCTGTGGATG